CGTGTTAACATTTTTTATACGTAGGATTAAAATTAGTAAACAATACGGAAAAATTAAAATAAAGGCTGTGTAATTTTACTAAAGAATGATTCATCAGCTGTCAGAATTACACAGGGAGTGAATGATTTGTTGAGTTTGTTTGTTTCAGAGTCAGAGAGCCGTGTCTCTCTACAGTCTCGGGCTGGGCTGCCTCCAAATCACCTGCATCTTATCTGAGGCAATCACCGGAGGACTACTTCAGCCAGCTCTGACGGCTTCTCCTCGCCAGTCTGTAGGTCTCCTCCCAGTGTGACCAGCATTCGGCGTGGAAGCCTGTGGCCTGCCTGTCATCCTGCCTGACTGCCTCCCTCCCTAGGATTCCCTTTGATAGGTTTGTAGCTTGAACCTATTCGCTGGAACGTTAAGACAATATAATTACACTGCAAGCAAGACACAAGTAGGCAAACTTCTTCATGGTACTCGTGCACGGGAGAGAACCGGACAGGCACCGTTCCTTCGCTTGACCCCAGTAGCTCTCGTCCGTTCTCCCATACACTGTCCTTTTATTGAGGTTACATGAATATGCATAGGTTCATTAACATACGACGTCTACATACAAACAAAGAGTACCTTGCCTGTGTGTGTGTGTGTGTGTGTGTGTGTGTGTGTGTGTGTGTGTGTGTGTGTGTGTGTACTGCTGATCAAAGGGTCAAACATCCTTGGTCAGGAAGAGGGTAGACTCCCCCTCACCCTAGATGGTTCATCCTAGATAACACGGTGAGGAAGTCCTGCAGTTCATCTAAACAAAGAGCACTTAGACTAGAACAGACGTAGCTACGTTAATCCTACCATAAAACAATAAGACACGGTATGACCTCTCATGCTCCCAAAGTGCTGTCTAATACACACAAAGTTTGCAGACTATCAAGGATCAAAACCTCTACCAATCTACAACTAATTACAAAACTCTAAGCATATATAAGTAAATATTTCTAAGCATAAATGACAATCAACAATACAAATCTAACATTTCCCCCCTTTTTGACCTTTATGCTTGAAAAGTTCCCAGGTATGAATACCTCATGTCTGACAGTTTCAATGCAAACCTTTTTATACTCAGCATATGTCAAATCACCCTAAATTACTGAAAGGTACACAGTTTAATAAATGTATTAGCAGTTACCCCATTCATTGAGCTCATCTCATGGCAAACTGCATCTTACGAGCAACCAAAGAAATTGTTAATTTAATAGTGAAACTAAGAAAGTAACATTTTCAAAAACATCTCAGCTTGGTGGTGCTTCCTCCGGGTGTGCACATCACATGTCTCTCTGCAGAGTGGTTTAAGCTCTGCAGGGCGTCATGAATGTCTCTTCCAGTTGTTTCCATCACTGTCCATAGGACCAGAGTCCAAATGTATGTAGAATAGACATTCAAACATACTAGTTGGTTTTGTGGTTCGTCAACATGGGTCTCAGCTATTTCCAAGCTGCAGACCTCTCAGCACTCTAGTTTTATGGCCTCTTACCAGCCCCCATCACCTGACTTCAGACCTTCGTCTTGTGAGGGGGATATTTATGACTCCTTAATTGTCCACGCTCTGCAGAAAAAGCTCTCTGTGGAAAGGGTGCTGGGTTCCGTCATCTTACTGCTGTTATGATCCCAGCAGCCTTCAGAGTGTCATCGTATGCACAGTATAGTGGCACAGCATTAGATGATGTTCATAGGAAACTGCTGTCATCACCACCATAGCTTCTGGTTCCTGTGCTTTCACAGAATCATGATGTCATCCTCGAACTCCTTCTGCGCTGTCGATGGAGCTTGGCACGCTCCCCTCATCCCACGAGTTTTCATGTTCCAACGCTGCTGAAGGTTTAAGGCAGAGCACGTCGTACACCTTAGTCGTCTTCCTCAGCGTCAATATTGAATCTTTCATTTTATTTAAAATCTCCTGGAAACTCAGTAGCACAGCTCTCTGTGTGATGTCTGCTGTGCTGAAGATGATCTCTGATCCTCCTGAAGCCTCTCTCCTGGCCTCAGCTCCCATCTTGTGGACGATCCTCTCCTCTATTTTGCAGGCAGTTTCATGGTCCTTGCTGTGGCTCCAAGGTCTGATCTCATGATGGGCCCCAACCAGCTTGACCTTTGACCTCAACCACTGCCTGGCTGTCAGCTATGCCTGGAATGGTTCACGCTTCTCACTGGGCCTCTGAAGATTTCTCAGGAGATTACTGCTGCACCTGTATTTCCTTGCTAAGAAGAAAAACTTCTATTTGGAGAGCATGTCAACAATCATCAAACCACATTCTTTAGTTCAGTGAACTTCACTTATAGGCCATCAAAGCCTCATCTGAACATGGATGCACCACTTGCATAGGTTTAATATTTGTAAATAAAACGGCTAATCACACAAATCACTGCAACAATAATAGTAAACATTGTTTAATGTTAATCCTTGCACTCCACCTCTTGACGCATGGACATTCCCATGCGTCAACTCACCAAACCTGGATCCCTGTCTTAAAGAAAAAGAGTAGCTAGATCATGTCCCAGGCAACATCAGGGCATCTCCTCTGGAGTAGCTCCGTAACCCTGCAATAAAAGATGTTAGCGTGTGTTGCATATTAAGTTTGCTTAACACCTGGCTCTCCCAGGAGCCTGCATACACACCATCACGGCCTGGAAAGCAAAATCTGGAAGTGAAATCAAACTTCATACCTGTAAACAATTGTATCATAAGAGTAATAAGCATTCAACATCAGCAAGACAAGTGTCATGTGCAGGTTTTCTCAAATCAGTAAACTACAATTATTTTCATAAGTCGCCTCAGACATGGATCATCCCATGTACTCAGGCAACATTAATGTAATCGGTGACTGCTCTTAAGCAAAGTCACTCCACTTATATATTACTATGGGCTCAAAAGTGGCCAGCTAATGAGCCCATATCAAACTATCCCAGAAACACTGTATCTCTTATTTGTTTTACTCATGTCACTTGTCCGTTTCAGCTGAATCTTCCACAGCATTCTCAAAGAAACTAACATTAGCAATACACATTGACTGTAGTCAGACAGAGGTCAGACACAGGTCAACAGGTTCCAGAGGTGCCATAAAAACACCATAAAGTCAACCCTAGCTGTGGAAAGAAGTAACACCAGTTCTCAACACAGGAAATTTCACACATGTTATTCACATTATCAAAGTAACCTTCACATTTTCCCATCAACACAATGCAACAGCATCACCACTCATAACCTGTAAACACAGTTTTCCTCACACATAAACCCAGAAATCCTGTAGTAGGAAAAAGCATCAACCAGTTGTCCTGGTATAAATCGCATCATCAATTCACATGAAGAACTGGCATGCTGTAAGAAAAGAAAATGCAAATATTAGCGCTTGCGCAGGCGTATGCATACTTTGTCACAGATATCTCTGTGAGCAACTCAAGCCTATGAATAACACACCTGATAAATGCACAGACACAGAAAATGGCATTTAAAAGGTTAAATCATCATGCAACCTCGAGTGTTGCTGTCATCTTTCTGCTCCTGTAAAAGGAAACACATGGGTTCATCTGCACCTTTGTCAGGTGGGGGTTAGCTTCACACAATCATGTTCAGTCAGTCAGTCAGATATTTTAAAATTCTTACTCATTCACTCAGTGGTTCCTTCTTTTGCTAATTGTGGAAATTATCATCGCATTCGTTTCCACGCTCAGCAAAACTACGTTATTTCAAAAAGAAAAATAATTTAGACTGGATTTCCTCGTTGAATCCTTTTTGGGGGGGGACTCTCATTTCCTAATTGTCCCAAATAAGTGGCTTCCTCCTGAACCCATTTTAAATGTGGAGAAACTCACTTGCAACAATTTTCTTGACGACGTGTAACGCTTTTAATTCCCGACTTGCAGATCTGCTCAAAGAAAAGAAATTCACAAGCAAAAATCAGTGCTTGTTCAAAAATGAAAAATAAAAAATAACAGAGATTATCAAACCAAACTCTCAGTGCACTGTGAAAGTATCAAAATAAAAAGGCCTTGTTAAGTCATGACACAAGCTCCTCATCTCAGGAGGGTAAATCATACCATTAGCATGGTTTATCATACCATCATACTAATCGGCAGGCTCAACTTCACAACAAAAGAAAAATCATCAGCTAGATTCACTCCAAATCAACCATCAGCTGCACAACACACAACATAACCCTAATGTCATATTAGCTATGAGTTTAATCACCAGGTCTGTGCTCTTCACTCATTTAAGCCACAGATCTATTTTATTCAATTTTTCCTTTTTCCCTTCATCATAAAACATGTGACATGCTGTCATGCACTTCACAAAACAGTCTGTTCTGACGTATTCAGAGTTGTGTATCTAAATACAGGATTCACTCGCACATCAAAGCAGGAAACTCAGTGTTTTAGAGTCTCTACTCAACACACAACAAACTCCAACACATCTCATTCACTCGTACTAGAATTCAGTCACCTTTCATTAATCTAAAACCGATCAACTAATTTGCATATCAGCTATTAACCCACTAAGTTGACAGGACGACAGAAAAGCATGTTCAAAATAGTATCACAAAAGACAATTTCCCTCATACAGTAAATTACTTATGCTGCCTCAATCAAGCAGGAAGCTTCTCCCAATTTATCATTTTAACACTAAATTTATTGTCTGATCACTGATTTATCAAACCAGGATTTTTTTTTTTTTTTTTTTTTTCCCACAAAAGTTAAATTGTTGTCCTGCAACTTGTAGAGTCAATTTTTTTCTTTAGGATAAATTCAGTATTTGATAACAAGTGTCTGCTAAATTGACACTATTGTAACACTGATGAAAGATAACAAGCTAATTTTCATTGCATGGGTTTGTGTTATTAGGCAGGTCTAATGCATGTCTGTGGAGCTGCATCTCCAGCAGAGCATGTTCTTAAAGCTGCCTTTCCTACACATTTCTCTGCTATTATTTAATCATTTCTTAACTAATGTGCTATGAGTCTTCATGAGTCATTTTGTGTTTGGAATTGTTAGTAGGGTTAATGCATGTTCTGCTTGTGTGTGTGTGATTTTGTATATGTTTCTATTTTCGCAATGTTTCAGACTCCGTCTCAATTTTCCAACTTAAGCAGTCAGTTTTCTTTTCCCCAGGTTTGCTAACCCAAATTTTGATTTCCCACATTAAATAATTCCTATGTGTTCTCACCTAGTCTTCTCACTCTGTTGTCCTCTCACTCTTTTGTCCTCTCCCTCTTCAACAGTCCCGGCAGTTCTCCTTCAGCTTTGTCCTGTCTAGTAGCTGAAGTGCTGCTGCTGCCTTCTTGGGCGACTTCTTAGCAGCTGCTGCCGGTTTCTTGGCTTTGGCTGCGGCGGGCTTCTTGGCTTTGCTCTCAGTAGCCTTGTTCATCTTGAAGGATCCGGAGGTCCTGGTGCCCTTGGTCTGCACCAGAGTGCCCTTCGCCACCAGGCTCTTGATGGCGGTCTTGACACGGGCCTTGTTCTTGTCCACATCGTAGCCTCCGGCAGCCAGAGCCTTCTTGAGAGCGGCCACAGACAGGCCGTTGCGCTCCTTGGAAGCGGCCACGGCTTTCACAATCAGCTCGCCCACGCTGAGGCCGACCTTCTTGGGCTTGGAAGTCATCGTCTTCTTCTTCTTGGCCTGAACCTCGGCGCAGGGCGTGTTTATGATGGAGCCTTTCCCACCACAGCGCTGGCACGTTGAACGCATCATGAAGGGTCCATTTCTTTCATGTCGCTAGCCGCATGTGGCTTGCCCGAGTCACTCAGTCCTTTTTGAGCATTTCGACATGCTGCCGCCGCAGAACCTGGCCTCAGATCCAGCAAGCTTAGCGCGCTGATCTCCAAAAAAGTCCCGAAAGCCAGAAAGACGTCAAATAAGTGTCTCGTGCTGAGAACTCAAACAAAAACTCTTCTTCACGCCGCCATCTTGCTCGCCCTTCCGTGGAATTCATCCAATCAGACAGGAAGATGGGTTTGCTTTCTTCTTCTGCTGCTGTTTATCCACATTGCTGCTGCTTGTTGGGACTTTTTTGCTCAGGACTTGATGCTGTCTCTTTATCATGTTATTGCTTTGGAGCTGCATTCCTTGTCTTCAGGGAGGGGTGAGAGCTTGCTTGCTTGTGAGGTTGAGAGACACATACACATTGCGCTTTAAATAAGTCAGCCAGAAACTTGGCCTGCATGTTTCCAATGATGTTAAACTATAACTTTCTTCCGACTGCTGCATGTGGAAAATTGATACAGGTCTGCTTTTCACCTGAAAGTGACAAACTAAGACATTTCATTATTATCATCACTGCTTAATCAACACACATCTCTCTCTCTCTCTCTCTGTCTGTGTTTGTGTGAACAATCCTTTCTTAAAAGCAGAAAATGACATTGTAGTTGTTTTTCGGCTGATCAACACAAAACCTTTTTCCTATGATTATTTCTCTTCGTCTACAATGTAGTAATTTGTCTCTTTTTCACTCTTTTTTTTTTTCTTCACAATAGCTGGTGGTCTGCAAAATCACCGCTCTCACTCACAATCAGAGGCAATCACTTTTGCACAGCGCACAAAAACACTGTGATGTCAGACACATTCACACTCACTTTTACATCTGCATAAATAAACCATATGGATGGAGATATGTGCCATGGTGATCCATAAGCATGATCACCAGTTTATTTAATTATTTTTAATCCAACAAAACAAATAAACAAAAACATGATGCTGATGCTACACACACACACGAGTCAAGGTGCAGAAAAACTGCTCATGGAAACGCTGCACACTCTCTGTTTCCCTCTCTTTGAGTAGTTCTCAGACAGCTCTTGATCTGATAATGTGTAGCTTGCTCATCAGCTCAATAAACAAAAACAAAACTGCAACGCGACATCACACAGTAGTTGCATGCTCTGCCCACAGTGGCAAAGTCTTACACTTACATATTCAACACAGCTTCTCCATCATGTATTTTTAGATGTTTCATACAGGGTTCAGCATATTAGTTGTTTTCACAGATGTGCTCTATATCTCAACAATGGCTCATAATAAGATGACCGTCTTCCACACAGGTCAAGTGCCTCTATGCACTTCATGAGTTTAAATATTTATCTATATCACTTCACCTCACATGTCATTGTACTGAATTTAAGCAACCACAAGCTTAATGTAGATTACTTTTAACAACTATCCACCTCAATTAAATCTATGGTCTGGCACACAGGCTGCTGTCGATCAGGGCAAGCTAAAGAATAAACATTGTGTCAGCAAGGGGTGGGGGGAAAGCCATTCACCAGAGCATATCTTAAGTGCTGCTGATGTGGGCTGGCCTTCTCCACAGCTCTCCAAGGCTGGTGTGTTTTCTGAAAACTTCTAACATTTGAATCTCTTCCATTTATAAGCCTGCGATTAACCGCACGGCTCAGGTCCGCGTGACCGCGCTCGCGTGAACCCACGCAGCTGTGGAGCCGTCGCTCTCTCTTTTTTTTACATAAATACTTTGTGCTGCCAGGAGCAAAGTCCAGCACAAACGTCTGTCTCCCTCCGACTCACTCTTGGTTGCTTAGAAACCCATGATAACAACAACAGTCGGTGTCACAGACCACATGTTCTGCTCCGCACACACAACAACAACAACAACGACGACGACAATGACAACAACACAAAATAGGCCTACTGTCCAGCACAATCTGGACCCCGCGGAACTTCTCAACACCCCACTGAGTGGTGGAGAACTCACTACAGTACCCCACACAGCGGTCTGTATTTCGCCCCACTAAGACGGCGAACCAAAAAAAGTTCGAACTGCGCAACTCTGCGACTTAATGCTTCTGTACAAAAAACCCCACTGAGCGGCCTTGTACATCGCCCCACTTAGACGGCGAATTTTAGCCCCACTGAGCGGCCACGGACAACGCCCCACTGAGCGGCGAAGACGTAATTTTAGCCCCACTAAGCGGCCACGGACAACGCCCCACTGAGCGGCGAAGACGTACAGTTATAGAGTTGGACTCTAAACTTACTCGGTGTTGCTTAGCGTGTAATATCAGCCTCGAATCCCGCCAATCGCCATTCATCGAGGAGAAAAGACATACAGCGAATCCACAGGAACTTCCTGGCTGACGTCAGTCTTTCAGCGTGTCCCTCCTCCCCTCGGTGAATGCGATTCCAGGGCTCCGGCATCGAAGGACCAATTAATGATAGGTTTGTAGCTTGAACCTATTCGCTGGAACGTTAAGACAATATAATTACACTGCAAGCAAGACACAAGTAGGCAACCTTCTTCATGTTACTCGTGCACGGGAGAGAACCGGACAACCGCTTGACTCCAGTTGGTCTCGTCCGTTCTCCCGTATCACTGTCCTTTTATTGAGGTTACATGAATATGCATAAGTTCATTAACATATGACGTCTACATACACAAAGAGTACCTTGCCTGTGTGTGTGTGTGTGTGTGTGTGTGTGTGTGTGTGTGTGTGTGTGTGTGTGTGTGTGTGTGTACTGCTGATCAAAGGGTCAAACATCCTTGGTCAGGAAGAGGGTAGCCTCCCCCTCACCCTAGATGGTTCATCCTAGATAACACGGTGAGGAAGTCCTGCAGTTCATCTAAACAAAGAGCACTTAGACTAGAACAGACGCAACTACGTTAATCCTACCATAAAACAATAAGACACGGTATGACCTCTCATGCTCCCAAAGTGCTGTCTAATACACACAAAGTTTGCAGACTATCAAGGATCAAAACCTCTACCAATCTACAACTAATTACAAAACTCTAAGCATATATAAGTAAATATTTCTAAGCATAAATGACAATCAACAATACAAATCTAACACATGTTTTTGATGAGGAGGATTTCTGTGGCTTCTGTTGTGATGAAGGACAGCTGTCAGTCATCCAGTGTTCAACTCTCAGGACTATAAACTCTCCCAGAGCACTGGAGCATGGTGCTGCTGATGCAAAGTGCCTCTCTATGGAAATCATCTGACTCACACAATGAAATCCTTTCTGCTTTTTCTGTCTGAATTAATGATGTCTTTTCTGTTTTTGCTTAGTTTCCTATTAATTGATATTAAAAATTAATCAAAATTTAATTTGCAGTTTATGGTTTACAGTTACAGTTAATGTGTAACCTGCCCCTTACCCTGGGGCAGCTGGGTAAAGCTCCAGCCTCTCCAGAATCCTGTCAGATAAGATCACAGATTGAAATAGAAAGTGTGACATCATCAATATTTTTTATAACTTTCATTTGATGCTTTTTTTATATATAAATTTGTTAGCCCAACAGCTAATTTAGGAAATTATATCGGTGACTCATAACTGAATGATCAGTCATTCAGTGTTTAACAGAACGGCTTATTCATTTATTAATGTCAATAGTAAATGATCAACTGTAATGAATATTATCCGTAGTGTCCATCTTAACACAAGGTCACTCTTCTGAAAAGAAAAACAAATCATCATCAAGAGAACTAAAACCATGAATAACAATAATCAAGAAATATAAATTAAACACAGAACACTTGGTCACAGACCAATGAAAGCTATTTTGATTGAAAACATATTATGTTGTTTAATTTATAATGACGCAGAGTTGGTAAAAGAGGAAGAATTTATAGATTATCTGGGATGAAGAATAGTTGAGTTCTTTAAAATAAATAACACAAAAACATCTGCCTTCATTGAATGAAAGCATTGAATAAATGAAAATATTTTTATTTTTATTGAGATTCATAAAAAGCTTTATTACTTAAAGAAGTACAACAAATCAGACTGCTTATGTAATGGAGTTATTTCTAGGAAAACGTCTGTCAGAAGATTGATCCACAGAGGGAAAAGTAGTCATATGCTATGAGATGATGAATTAATGACGTTTGAAGCAAATGCTTAAATTTACAACACGTGTTCTTTGGTCAGAGTGGCAACCCAGGTAACTGTTGGTATGACAATATATATTATAATGAGGTTGTTATTACACATTATGTTGAAAACAGCAAAGCTTTTGGAGAATTTCACCAGCCATTTGTACAGTACTGCACTTAAAAAAAACACAGAAGAGCTACTGATTGAAGGTGTCAAACTTGGATCAGTCTGACGATGCTGTTTATCAGGAATGATTCAATCCATCATAGTATTGAGCAGATATATCAGTTTGTTCTTCAGAATATTCTTATTCCAAAATTTTTTCTATTATTTAAATGTTTTGTTTTATGGTTCATTGATGGATTCACATGTTTATCATAATATTTAGTAAGGATATATCTGGATTAATTAAAAATATGAATTAACGAGGTCACAGGTTCATCCTGTAGAGTAGCTGAGCTTAGTCTCAGAGAGTGAGGAGCTCAGACATGTGGAGGTACAGTCACTGCTCTTTGCTTCAAAGGACTTCTTATAAAACACAAACAGACACAATCAGTATCTTTTAAACGAGGCTGTTATCTCTGACAGCAATACCTATAACACCTCTTTCTGTAGCTATGATCACAACCATGTGACATGTAACAGTGGGGCAGATCAAGCATCGTTGTTCACTGCTATTGATGTTTTTTTAATCACGAATTACAAACAATTACACAACTGAATTCCAGCTTTATTCAAATGAATAAAATTAAGTAATAAAACCCATCATGATAGAATCTCTGTTATCATCACGGACACTTTAAGTTCAAGAACATGTACCTGGATAAAAGCTGCTGTTGGAGGTAAAATCCTCAGACTGAACTTGGGACCTTCACATTTCTAATTCTTACAGAATTTAATGAGCAGAAACAAACAACTGATTGTTTAGAATTTATGATTGTTCAGCACTTTTCTGCACCTTACTGAGTGCTTACATTTGAGTCTTTCATGCTACTCTATATACAAATCTGTACATCTGTGTCCATAACAGAGAGAGCCAAAATGGGTATGTTTGATTTGCCTTCTGTGGCGGAGGTGTGGTCCTTGGCTCATCTGCAGGGGAGGAGTGGTACAGTGAGCTCAAGGGGGCGGTACCGGGAGGCAGGTGAGCCACAGGTGGTGGCGACTGACTGATGACGCTGTCTCTTTCTGTTTCTCTATATAGTGAAGACAGAGTCGAGCGGGGACGGGGAGAGCTGGACTGGAACAGACTGTGTTCCTTGAGTTCATAACTGTCAGTAAAACGCAATAATAGTGAGCACAATCATCGTGTGTGTTGTGTACTTTTACACCTTTCTAACAATCCTATTTATGTGAAGTTGGGATAAGGTTCCAAGAAACTTAAAACCTCTGTGAAGTGTGAGTGAGGTCAAAGGTCATGAAGCTCAAGTGTCAGCATTATAAGTTAGCTTTTTAGGAGTTTCACCATTTTTCTGTTGGTAACAGAACACGTCAATACCTTCATCTACCCCATGATTGGTTGTAAATCTGAGGGTGATGGAGACCAATTAACTTCTTTTGATGAAATAATACACACTATGTTTGTTGACTCCAGAAACACCAACAGTGACATCTGGAGGAGGTTCCCCACATGTTTTGTTTTTTGTTTTTTTGATTTTTTTTGTAATGTGGGTTACACGTGTGGCATGCCACTATACTGTGGAGAACAACAGTCACTTATGGGGAAAAACGCTCGTCCCAAACGAGTTTAAAGGCATTTGAGTCTCAAAAAGTGGTTTTAGTGTCAGGGTTACAGTTAGGTTATAGTTAGGCATTCACTTTTGATGGTTAAGGTTATAGTAAGCAGTTAGGAAAAGCATCATGTCAATTAGATATCCTCACTAAGATATGAAAGCCAGTGTATTTCTTTGAGTGTGTGTACTCAGTCAACTGTATCAGTCTCTGCACTTGATTTTTGTATGATGGCTTTTCACTGTGTGAACACATACTGGCTGTTAATGTAGTGCTGACTCTGACAGTAATAAACTGCTGCATCTTCAGCCTGGACTCCACTGATGGTCAGAGTGAAGTCAGAGTTTGATCCACTGCCTGTAAAACGAGCTGGAATCCCTGATTCTCGACTGCTAGCAGAGTGAATGAGACGTTTAGGAACTCCTCCATCTTTCTGTTGGTACCAGGCTAAAAGATGGTTGTTGCTCCAAACACGAACATCCTGACTGGTCGTACACTTGATGCTCACAGATCCTCCCACAGCAGAGCTCACTGCTCCAGGCTGAGTCACTGTGATCTGTCCTCTGGACTCTGAGGACACAGAGACAAAAACATAAAGCAGCTTCATGGTTTTGTGGGCTTCATTTCAGAGGGACAGATGTTGATAGAGGAGAGGAGTTTGATTCTCTGGACTTTACCTGTGAAGCAGCAGCAGAGGAGAGTCCAGATGAGGACGCAGATCAAAGTCATGTTTTTGATGAGGAGGATTTCTGTGGCTTCTGTTGTGATGAAGGACAGCTGTCAGTCATCCAGTGTTCAACTCTCAGGACTATAAACTCTCCCAGAGCACTGGAGCATGGTGCTGCTGATGCAAAGTGCCTCTCTATGGAAATCATGGAAATGCCCTTGTCCATTATAAAAGGTTTACTCTGTGTTCAAGAATCAGTGATTTGGTATTTCTGTCTGCTTTAATTTCATCTTCTTTTTCCTCTTTCTCTTTTTAATTAATCCATTGAGTTATTCATAAAATCAGCAATTTGTGTTTTGTTGATTATTTTTAAAAGCATTTTTTTAAAGTTTTACATTGTGCATCTTATGCTGAGCAAGCTTTGGTTGTGAGGATTGGGCAGGCTATTCTGTGACGTACTTAAAATCTGGTAATACAGTTGGTAAATATTTGCACGAAGAAAAGTCATCATTTCTTCATCGTGCTCTGTACTACACTATAAAGATTACAGCATAAAAACATAAGCAGCACATCGTCAGAACTTATACTGAATCTTTGCACCAGACCATGTGTGTTACTCATGGCCATTGATCAGTGTCTGTTCATTAATGGTCATGAGAATTTGCATATTAATGATCAAGGAACTGACCTCCCAGCCCATTGTTCCTTCAGTGGGCTGGTTTCAGTCATTATGCAAATGTCCTGTTTCTAAGGTTGGAGAAACCTGCAGTCAGCTGAGACTGAAGAAGTCACCTGGATGAGTGACGAAACGTTTCTCCCCCTGAAAACGCTGCGTCCAGATGAACAGAATCAACCTTGTGGGTTTTACTTACCTGGATGATTGAGCGTGCATCAAGACACCATGTGTGTTAGTGCCTAATTATGAATAATATTACTCAGATATTGATCAGTGACAAACACAAAAGGCTACAATTTCAAATATTTTAGACTCTGACTGGTGAGAGTAAAATGCTGAACATTTGTCTCAATGCTAGATAGAAAGCACTCAGGCATAGGATTTAGTGTTTATACGAATGTCTGTGGATGAGGCATGTTTTATGAAGAGCTTTGTCTATGTTTATATGTCTGGTTGGGTCTTAGACTCCATCTCACCGCCCCCCCCACACACACCCGTCTGGGGCTCTCCCCAGCTTGTTTCTAGGAGGGAGGCGGCTGTCCCTCCAGTGGTCCTGCTTGGGCTCTTGTGCTCTGGGGGGAATCTAGATGTCTGGGTCCTGGATGTCCTCCGTGCTTGCTCCATGTCCTGGGGGGCAGTGCTATGGCTCCCCACAATTACTATTAGATAGTTACATGGAGAAACCTTTTGGAAACAAGCGCACTCACGCACACAGGTGTGCACAGACACTCACCGTCTTCCTTGGATGCTGCCTCTAAGCATATCGTCTGCTGTCGGTCTTTTGTGCTGCTCAGTAGCATTCAGTCTTTATTATTTACTCTTACTTATGCTTATCTAGGTTGTTGCTGTGGTCTCCCTACTGTGTTGTTCTCTTTTTGCTTGTTTTCTTCTTTTTCTTCCAGCAGGTGATCTCATGGGTTTTCATTGTCTTTTCTCACTGTCCCTCTTCCCCTCTGTTTTTCTTTCCCTCTCCTTTTCTTAAACTTCTCTTATCTGTCTTTCTCTTTACGATCCCCTGGTTATATCTGTTCCAATTGTAATCATTTAAAAAAATAAAAAAATTAAAAAATAATGAAGATCAATCAAGTGGACCAGTATGGCACTGATTCACTTGAGAAAATAAATCTGTTGAGAATTTTTCTTGGCCTTCAGACAATAATTCTGATTGCTTCAGTGCCGAACGGGACAGGACAAAAAAATGTGATCGTCCAAAAGCTCATGGATTGAACTGTATTTAAACTAACATTGTATGATGGTATTTGAAGAAGTCATATCAGCTGAGTCATGGCTGCTGTGCAAACAGTGAATGATTTAGTTGAGTTTGTTTGTCTCAGAGTCAGAGAGCCGTGTCTCTCTACAGTCAGAGGTTTTTGTACGGCGCCTCAATGAGTTTGTATCACTGTGGTACACGTTCGGTGGAGGAACCAGACTGGATGTTGGAGGTAAGTTTATTCTGGTTTACTATCAAATACTGTCTTTTTATTAAAGTGCATTTAACAATTTCTCTTCTGATTTTAAGAGAAAAGCACGTAGCTTTACAATAAGTTTGATGCTGGAATTTTTTATCATCCTCTTGTGTCGTGGAGGATAATTCAGATCTGCTCTGTCAAAATATTATGTCTACATTTCAGTCAAATTAAACTGAAAAAAAATCTAACAATAATATAAAGAAGAAAAACTTTCAAGTATTGTTTGAAATTACTTTGAGTTTGTGTGAATTTTAAAAATTGTTTTAGATATACAGGAAGTGGATTTCGTTTCGCTGAATTAATTAATTTATTCTATTTATTTGTTTCCAGTTAATATTAATGTGAGTCATGTACAATATTGATGATTTTAAACTTGTTTTGTAAATGTTTCCACATCTGCTTCTTTTATTTCCAGTGTAGTTTGAACATATTTCAGCTCAAACTGTGTGATGATTCTCTCTGTGCTGATATGCATGAGAGGTTTCTTAAAGGGAAGTGAAACAATGTGTGAGTGAATGACTGGTGGAGCAGAAAAAACACCTGACAGAAACTTCTTAACGGAGAAAATCAGCTCTTACAGTAAAGGTGTCCGACTGTCTGTGGTTTGATTGACAGCTGTGTGCTCCCTGTGCTCTAAGCTGATTGGTGTCTCCTAGGTGATGCCCGTCCCGTCCTGACAGTGTTGCCCCCCTCCAGTGAGGAGCTACAGCAGGGGACTGCAACAATCACATGTCTGGCCAACAAGGGCTTCCCCTCAGACTGGAGTCTGTCCTGGAAGGTGGATGGCAGTGGCAGCATCAGCTGGGAGGAGAGCAGGAGCCCCGTGGTGCTGCAGAACGACGGCCTCTACAGCTGGAGCAGCACCCTGAGGCTCCCTGCAGACCGCTGGATGAAGGTGGGCTCTGTGACCTGTGAGGCCACCCAGGGCTGCCAGGCTCTGGTCTCAGAGCCACTGATGAGAGACCAGTGTCCCCAGTCCTGACCTGACTCAACCTGATACTGGTTTAATGCTCTCATTCTCAACTCTGTAACTGTCTCTCCATCTTTCTTTTTTAAGAACAAATAAAGACTAAAACTGTTATTTTCTTTCTCATAATGACAACATTCATGTTTTAGGTAATAAAGATGTTTTGCAAAGTGAATTTTGGTTGAATCAGACATTTAATTTTATTCAAATCTACAAACCTGCACTTGATGAATATATGTTTCATTTAGAAGAATTCAGACCAACTCTGCACTCTAACATGATGTCTTTATTTTACACTGGTAAAATAAAACACAGGCTGAAAGAACCATTAAGGAGATCTGCATTTTGGCAAAAAGGAGTTTTAAAGTTGTTCAGGTTATTTTTATGTTTATTTAAATGTGTGTGGTAGGTTGTTGGTGGTGTTGCTCACCTGTACCAGACAGACTGGTTCATGAAGCAATGCTGGGACCTGGTTGCCACGGAAACAGTCTCACCAGACTACAAAGCAAGTCTAAAGAAGAAAGAGTCTTTAGTGTCTCTAATGAGCTGTTTGTTCTGAGGAGAACTCACAGACAGGAGAGTCAACGAATGCAAGGAGTGATTAGAAAGAATCTGAAGAACAAAGTTTTAATTTCATTGACGAACAAGGAGAAGATTAAATGAATGATGACATGAACAAACTATGAAAAAACACCTTCGGTTCAATAACAGCTTTTTCACTCATGTTCATGTTTGATGATATGTTTACACTTAAATTCACAGGTGTGTTGTTTTTATTTTGAGCCTCACTGATCAGGAACATTTTCAGCTTTTTGGATTCAGATTATTTTATCTTGATATAGAGTCAGTGTTTGCTCTAAGGTCAAAGGTCATGAACAAGACTTATCCTGGTATCTGTTAATGGCCCACGTTTGTTCTTTAGTTAAATATATATTTGAAAGTTGAACACAACATACATGCGATGTAGGACACAAAATTGTGATGAATCACTTCATTTTGTGTGTGTGTGTGTGTGTGTGTGTGTGTGTGTGTGTGTGTGTGTGTGTGTGTCCTCAGTGAACTGTATCAGTCTCTGCAGTATCTTCCAGCTGCAGCAGTCACTTCAGTTTCTGTTCAGTCTGACTGAGGGAGGTTTTTGTACGACTGTTTTTCACTGTGTGAACACCCACTGACTGTTAGGAAAGTGAAAACTCTGACAGTAATAAACTGCTGCATCTTCAGCCTGGACTCCACTGATGGTCAGAGTGAAGTCAGAGTTTGATCCACTGCCTGTAAAACGAGCTGGAATCCCTGATTGTCGAGTGCTAGCGTAGTAAATAAGACGTTTGGGAGTTTCTCCAGCTTTCTGTTGGTACCAGACTAAACAGTGATTGTTGCTATGAACATAAACATTCTGACTGGTCCGACACTTGATGCTCACAGATCCTCCCACAGCAGAGCTCACTGCTCCAGGCTGAGTCACTGTGATTTGTCCTCTGGACTCTGAGGACACAGAGACAAAAACATAAAGCAGCTTCATGGTTTTGTGGGCTTCATTTCAGAGGGACAGATGTTGATAGAGGAGAGGAGTTTGATTCTCTGGACTTTACCTGTGAAGCAGCAGCAGAGGAGAGTCCAGATGAGGACGCAGATCAAAGTCATGTTTTTGATGAGGAGGATTTCTGTGGCTTCTGTTGTGATGAAGGACAGCTGTCAGTCATCCAGTGTTCAACTCTCAGGACTATAAACTCTCCCAGAGCACTGGAGCATGGTGCTGCTGATGCAAAGTGCCTCTCTATGGAAATCATCTGACTGACTCCAGCAGGACTGCATAATTAGTCTTTGCAATGTGAATTCACAGGTTTTCAACATGTTTTGAGATGTAATTGGGTTGGTAGCTTTTTATTATTCTATTTATTACTTTATCCAGGACCTTTAAGCCTTCTCCTGGTACACAATCTGGTAATGTGCATTAAAAGCAGAATTAAACATTCATTCAGCTACTGCTATAAAAGTGATCAATGACACCATTGAGGCAATGAACCTTTTGGTGTGACTTTTTTCCTAGACTGACTCCAACACAGACTTGGACCAGTCTCATAATGCTGTTTAATAATGGATCAATCAAATTAACATACCACTGAATAAAGGTCTCAAAGTCAGTTTTCTAAAATCTGGAATGTGTTTGAACAGACTGCCACAAGGATACGTCTTTGTTTTTTAGAGCCAGTTCATGGACAGATAAGACCTGTTAATTAAACAGATCATTGATTGATTTTAAGTAAAATAATTGCATGTATTGATAATTAATTACTCTCCATATGAGGTCCAAAGAGATCATCACCACAGGAAATAACAAAATAAACATAAGAGCAGAAACTTTAGGACCGTCCGAATCAACCACCTGGTTCATTCGTAAAAGGAATAAATGCATTGGACAGCACGATACTAAAAAGGCCTGAAAAACCACTGAGCTGCACTCAGCTCCCACTGAAGGTTTGGACTAAGAGGCTGCTGGCTCTGTGGCCCGTCCGAGCTGCGGCACTGTATGTTGCATGTACCCACTCGATTCGGACAACGGACCAGCTGTTAGTTTCATTCCATCCCGGGATTCTGGGAAGCCCCCAGTCCAAGTCATCAGCTGTGTCAGCCTGACTGTACTGAGAGTAATTAATAGTAATTAATACTGTTGGATTTGAAGGTAAAATCCACAGACTGAACTTGTGGCCTTCACGTTTCTACCCCTCTTATGATCGAAAATCATGTGGGTCATATGTGTGTGTGTTTATTTGGGTGACTCTGTCATGGTCCTGGGTCATGTGACCCAGTATTCTGAGTTTCTTGATGTTTTCTTATTCCTTTCAGTCTAGTTTCATTTCAGTTTATCGAGTTACATTCTGTCACGCCTGGGTTACACTTTTAATTCATGATTTTTAAAGCTCCCCATTTGTCTCATCCCTGTGTGAAGTTTTCTGTGTTAAGTCTTCGTGTGTTTATCTGTCATGTGTCATGTCCAAGTTTTCTTTGTTTGTCAAGTTCGAGTCATGTCTGGGTCTCGCTATGTTTCTCGTTTTATTTTGAAGGATCCTTGTGTTTTTTGTTTATTGTATTTAGCTTCGCGTCCCCTGTCCTGTCATTATGTTAATTGTTGTCAGCTGTTTTCCCATGTGATTCCGCTTCCCTTGATCATTCCTTATGTGTACTTAATCCGTGTGTTTCTGCTCAGTCGGTGTCAGATCGTCTGTTAACCTCACCACAGTATTCATAGGTTTACCTCATTGTTCCGCTGTGTGTCCTAGTTTACTCAGTGTTCATAGTTTTGTTGTAGTTCTTTCACTGAGTGTCACAGCCTTCTGTTAACACAGTGTTCATCGTCTCCTTAGTTTCCCTAGTTTGATGTTTTTTCTTCTGCAATAAAGGCTCGCTTTATTTTTGAAACTACGTTTTGTCTCCACCGTGTCTGCATCTGGGTCTACCTCATTCTTCACACCGGCGCACCCCGCCGTGACAGACTCTTCCCATCAGAGGATGTATGTGTGGGTGTTTCTCTCTCGTCCCTCACAGGTGCCTGCTGAGTGGTTGGGTTGACTGATTCCTGTTCCCAAACTGTGTACAGAAATCTGTACATTACAGAGAGTGCAAGCATGCACATTTTTCGTTTTCGTCAGCCAAAAAGTTTACTGATCTTTGAGAAAATTATTTAACTTTAATAACTATATGTTCTAACTAGGGACCGAAAGTGCTTAAAATCTCAGAGAAGCGGTGTAGGTGAGGTAGAAAGTCATTAGGATTACATGTTACATATCACACATTGACTCACTTTGTCTTAGATAAGTGTGTGTGTGTGTGTGTGTGTGTGTGTGTGTGTGTGTGTGCGTGCGTGCGTGCGTGCGTGCGCGTGTGTGTGTGTGTGTGTGTGTATGCGTGTGTGTGTGTGTGTCCTCAGTGAACTGTATCAGTCTCTGCAGTATCTTCCAGCTGCAGCAGTCACTTCAGTTTCTGTTCAGTCTGACTGAGGGAGGTTTTTGTACGACTGTTTTTCACTGTGTGAACACATGCTGACTGTTAGGATAGTGAAAACTCTGACAGTAATAAACTGCTGCATCTTCAGCCTGGACTCCACTGATGGTCAGAGTGAAGTCAGAGTTTGATCCACTGCCTGTAAAACGAGCTGGAATCCCTGATATTCTCTCATGAGCACGCCTAATGAGCAGTTTGGGAACGTCTCCATCTTTCTGTTGGTACCAGGCTAAATGGTGATAGTTGCTAGAAACATAAACATTCTGACTGGTCCTACACTTGATGCTCACAGATCCTCCCACAGCAGAGCTCACTGCTCCAGGCTGAGTCACTGTGATCTGTCCTCTGGACTCTGAGGACACAGAGACAAAAACATAAAGCAGCTTCATGGTTTTGTGGGCTTCATTTCAGAGGGACAGATGTTGATAGAGGAGAGGAGTTTGATTCTCTGGACTTTACCTGTGAAGCAGCAGCAGAGGAGAGTCCAGATGAGGACGCAGATCAAAGTCATGTTTTTGATGAGGAGGATTTCTGTGGCTTCTGTTGTGATGAAGGACAGCTGTCAGTCATCCAGTGTTCAACTCTCAGGACTATAAACTCTCCCAGAGCACTGGAGCATGGTGCTGCTGATGCAAAGTGCCTCTCTATGGAAATCATCTGACTGACTCCAGCAGAGACTTGGATCAATGTGATGTGTCTAAAAAGAGTTGTCATGGCATATTTGGCATGTGACTCACATGAACCCTTCATGATTTATAGACAGATGAGAAATTTTGTCAAAATTTACTCGTGCAGTGAGGAGATGTGAAGGCTTTTCTCCTGCAGGGGCATTTTGCTGAAATGATTCAAGACCACTTGTCATTGTCCTGGTTCATTCGACCAAGCGGTTTGCGTTTCCTGTGTTTTTGTCATTTTTTTGTATTATGTTAAGTCTACTTGTTTATGTTAAGGATCATTCTTTAATGCCTGCATTGTTCTGTTTAGATTTGGTTATTAGATTTCCCCTTGTGTCGTTGCCCTTTGTGTCTCCCTCTGTGTGTCTGTGTTTATATTGTGGTGTGAGTTCTTGTGCCTTGTTTCTCCTCCGTGTGTTTCATTCCGTCATGTTTATCTATGTTTCCCAGCCCGTCGTGTCTGCTCTCTCCCTCGTGTTCCCTCACTCCCTTTCGTCTGCCTCTTCTCCGCTCCCGCATCATGTTTCCTGTTTTATTGTGAAGGTCTTGTGTTTCCATGGTCGTTTTGTCTCGTTGTGGTTATTCGTGTTAGCTGGGTTCCTCGTGTGTTCTCGTTATCCCTCTGTGTATTTAGGTCAGCGTCTCCCTCAGTCCTGTGTTGCGTCCTCCCTCATGGCTGTGTTTCCCTGTGTGCCTCTTTGTGTTTGTAGTTTATACTTCCCCCAGTCTAGTTTTGTTTTGTATTTCCATTCAGCAAATAAAGCTGGTTTTTGATTTTACGTCCTGTTTCTGGGAGTCTGCATTTGAGTCTTGTCCTGCCTGCCTGCTCAGCCGTTTCATGACACCACTTGTTCTTTGACATAAATCATATAAAGTGTCCTTCAAGTCCTTCAGACTTTAAGACAGTTGAACATCTGTGTGTGAATTTGGATCGATGTGTTAGAGTTAAAAGAGTCCAAATTTGGTAAATATAGCTTGAGAGAAACAACGACACATGGCATATTAGACTCTGTCATTATTTATTCACCAAAGACTAATGAACTCACGACTCTTCAGTTTAATTTGAAACACAGCATGGAATCATTTACTTGATAGAAATGTGAAATATTCGACCCATAACAGAGACATTTTATGTTTCCGCGGGCACTCCACTGTGTGCGACTCAGGCAGCTTACCAGTTGTTGTTGTTGTTTGCCAGTTTTTCTTGTGGATGAGTGTTGTGTTATGTCAGGCGGTTTACTGATAATCAGCTTATTTGTGGTCTTTTATCTCCTTTTTCTTTGAACACACTCAAGTCACGACTGACATGTAACATGTTCAAGTGGCTTTATTGTCATTTCAGCCATATACAGTGGTGCAGTACACAGTGAAATGAGACAGCGTTCCTCCAAGACCCTGGTGCTACATATAACAGTAAATCAACATAGGACTATAATAAAGTGCAAGTATACAAGAACTACAAAAACAGAACAGAGTGATACAGACACAAGACAGTGCAACAGAAAAGTGCAAAGTTTTCTACAAATTATGCAATTATGATGCCGTTATTATTTCACACTAAAATCTTTTTGAGCATTTTCTTTCAATGAAACTTAAATTTTTAAAACTTTTTTTTTGAATTTTTTCTTCAAAAACAGTTCATTGATGGCACATTTTTGTTTCTATGTTTTAACCTTTTGCCAAAGTATCTGCAAATAATTTGTCATCCATTTCATTTCGCCTTTGATGAAGATTTAAAATTACTATACTGCCATATGGTTACCATTTAACCATACTCTAAAACAGGGGTGGGCAATTCCAGGCCTCGGGTGCCGGTGTCCTGCGGGTTTAAGATCTCACCTTGGGTCAACACACCTGAATCACATAATTAGTTCGTTACCAAGCCTCTGGAGAACCTCAGGACATGTTGAGGAGCTAATTTAGCCATTTAAATCAGCTGTGTTGGTTCAAGGACACATCTAAAACCTGCAGGGACACCGGCCCTCGAGGCCTGGAGTTGCCCACCCCTGCTCTAAAAGCATGCTGACCACGTTGGGCTCAGTTTATGAGATTTAATTTGTAATTAAGTTATTTTTCCCAAATATACCAAAAATAAGTTGGTTTGTTTTTTTCCATTTTTACATACAAAATTGTTTAATTTTTGAGTTTTGATAAAATTCTGACAAATTTATTTTTCTGATTATTTTAATTGTAATTGTAGAACTAAGAAATAGTTCACAGATTACAGACGAGAACATCAGAAGTCAAAGAAACACTTTAATATTTTCATCTTTGGTACTGAAACTCGTCTGTTGCCATGGTTCAGCAGTGAAGCCTGTCTGTTACCATGGTTACCAAGCTCAGAGAGGGAAGTGAAACATCTGGAGATCAGTTTCACCCAAACTCCCAGTTTCTCTAACATCTATTCTCTCTCTCTCTGCAGTGGGTCGAGTCCCCCCCTCCCTGACCGTGCTGGCGCCCTCTAGTGAGGAGCTGCAGCAGGGGAAGGCTACAGTCATGTGTGTGGCCAACAAGGGCTTCCCCTCAGACTGGAGGCTGTCCTGGAAGGTGGATGGCAGTGGCAGCATCAGCTGGGAGGAGAGCAGGAGCCCCGGGGCACTGCAGAATGACGGCCACTACAGCTGGAGCAGCACCCTGAGGCTCCCTGCAGACCAGTGGGAGAAGGTGGGCTCTGTGACCTGTGAGGCCACCCAGGGCTCCCACACTCCACTCTCAGAGACTCTGATGACAGACCAGTGTTCCCAGTCCTGAGCTGACTCACTGGGACTCTGATACTGGCTTTAGTCTGCAGCTTCTCTCAGTCTGCTCCCTCTGTGTCTGTATTGCTTTGATAGTTTTCATGTTTTCATGCTTGTGGCACTGTTGATGGTTTTAATACTTCAAATAAAAACTGAGGTCTTCAAATAGTGGTTTTCATGTGTTTCCATTCAGCTGCTCTTCTGTCTGATAATCATCCTTCAGGTTCAGCAGTGATGCTTCCATACACTGAAAATCTCTGCTTCAGTAACTTTGACTGAGAGAATCACATGTGCTGTATCACATCAGAGTGTAAATGTAAAAAAATGAAAACAACTAAAAAAAAAAGAAAAGAAAAAGCAATAAGTTAAAAATAGAATCACAGCCAACAGCTGCTCCCTGTTATAAATAGTTTTAAAGTCTTTTGCAGCTGCATTATTTTCCATCATGTTGGACTTTGTGATGATCTTTGCTGTTGGGTGTAGAAGAAGTAGAAAACATGGAGACAGATTATTGTAACCTGCATGTGACCCATGATGAGACCCGTCCTGGTTTTCTTCAAAGTCAGAATTGATAAAATAACCCAAAGAAAAACGAAACTTTCTTTATCAACATAGGAGACACTAAAAATGTCTCTTTCAGAACATCAGTGCAGGTTAAAAAGTGTAAATGTCAGAATAATTTATGTCACAAAGATGAAGTTAAAGACTTGATGAACTAAACTTTAAATCTTCAGATCAAATCATGTGAAATATTTCTGTGACCAAGAATGTAGCTGAGCAATCTACATACATACATATATCAGTACTGCAGTTTACTAAAATATTCTCATTTAATAACTACTTCCCAGTTTGAATATTTACAGGAGAGTTTCTTCATCACAGATCTGACTCACAGTATCAACTGTTTTGTGTTTCACATGTTCTTCTGTGCGAGCTCGTCAGGATGGACACAAGTCTGATGTTTTGAGTCAAACCCACATTAACATTAGTTATGATAGCTTAAGTTGTATCAGGGCCTAAGAAATGATTTTGCAATTATTTTGGAAGGACTGTGAAGTGTGTGTGTGTGTGTGTGTGTGTGTGTGTGTGTGTGTGTGTGTGTGTGTGTGTGTCCTCAGTGAACTGTATCAGTCTCTGCAGTATCTTCCAGCTGCAGCAGTCAGTTCAGTTTCTGTTCAGTCTGACTGAGGGAGGTTTTTGTACGACTGTTTTTCACTGTGTGATCACATACTGACTGTTAAGATAGTGCCAACTCTTACAGTAATAAACTGCTGCATCTTCAGCCTGGACTCCACTGATGGTCAGAGTGAAGTCAGAGTTTGATCCACTGCCTGTAAAACGAGCTGGAATCCCTGAATATCGATTGATAGACCAATAAACGAGCAGTTTAGGAACTCCTCCATCTTTCTGTTGGTACCAGTGCAAATAGTGGTTGTTGTTCCAAACATTAACATTCTGACTGGTCCGACACTTGATGTTCACAGTTCCTCCCACAGCAGAGCTCACTGCTCCAGGCTGAGTCACTGTGATCTGTCCTCTGGACTCTGAGGACACAGAGACAAAAACATAAAGCAGCTTCATGGTTTTGTGGGCTTCATTTCAGAGGGACAGATGTTGATAGAGGAGAGGAGTTTGATTCTCTGGACTTTACCTGTGAAGCAGCAGCAGAGGAGAGTCCAGATGAGGACGCAGATCAAAGTCATGTTTTTGATGAGGAGGATTTCTGTGGCTTCTGTTGTGATGAAGGACAGCTGTCAGTCATCCAGTGTTCAACTCTCAGGACTATAAACTCTCCCAGAGCACTGGAGCATGGTGCTGCTGATGCAAAGTGCCTCTCTATGGAAATCATCTGACCAAGTTTAGAGGCACAATGTGAAAAAGTAAAGGTCTGGACTTCACTACATGTTTTTACAACATTCTGTACGCCACGCAGATCCTGATGGGTTTGAAGAACTACTAACTGATTATATTTAAAATAACTTCAATGTCAATTTTAAAATTTTGCTGTAGGACACCATTCAGATGGCTGTGATCCAAAATTAAATATGGTTCAAACATCATGATACAACATGATTTCCTCCAGTACCATCCACCTCCAACATATATTACAGTTTCTCTCAGTCGCTTTGCTGCAGTTCTCAAATCAGTGATGCTTTTCCCCAATCAAATTAGCCTTTCTCATTGTTTTATACACACATACACACTGCTGTTGTTTCTACACTAATAAAGGGATTTGTTACTTCATTGATCCACAACTCACAGCTCACAACTGTCGTGATCGGGCTGTGTCCAGGCAGGAATTGGACCCAAACTCAAACTCACTGGAAACAGGACTGAACTCAAAATGGCAGCTTTTATTGCTGAACAGAAAACTCCACAAAACCTAAACTGGGAAGAATCTAACAAAACACACACAGCACGAGGAAGATCACGGCACTGCAGTAATCAATCAATCTTTACATGAGCCAGGTGAGGAAACACTATCACAGGGAGCCGTCTGCACCCGGAGCCGGTCACAGACCGCAGCCTCCAGGCTGGGCACACAGCAGGAGGGAGGCAAAGAAGCCCCCCAGCCAGGCTGAGAATGTGTCGATAACGTGAACAGAACACGCGTATAGTTTAATGAGTATTATTTTGCTTTTCTCCATTTCATCAGTTTTGTAAGGTTAAAAAAACAAACGGGAAATTTTGTTTTATGTATATATCAGGAAGCTTAATAAGGAGTAAAGTTCATCACAGTCACTTACTGTTCGGAGTCCTCCTATTATCGAAAGTGCAGAACATAACAGCAGGTTATGGCTGTCAGGCGTTGTGTGGAGGCGAGGAAGAAGGAACCCAAACGCAGGACTGGCAGGTAGGTGAAGGTTTATTATAGGGAGTGGGTGAACAGAGGGTGAACGGACACTGACTGGCTGGACAACTGAACAGCTGACTGAACTGAGGGAACACACGGGAAGCACAAAATAACATCAATGACACGACAGTGAACGAGTAGAAAGAGAGGGCTTAAATACACAGACTGATGAGGCTGATAATGAGAGACCGGTGAGTACACAGCTGAACATAATCTGGCTAATGACACAAGACGAACTGACACAGGAAAAGCAGGAAGTGAGCACATGGAAGTGGCAAAATAAACTGAACATGAACAAAACTGAAAACACTGGGTCACCGACCCAGGAACCCTGACAATGGCACACCATGAACAGCAAGTGTTAATTAATATTGACATGATCTGTGTCACTTCATGGTGTATCACTGTGAGTAATGGGATCACATGTTTTTTTTCCTTTCTTAAAGGATGGCCCAGTGTAAGTGTTAGGTTTTGTATTGTTGATTGTCATTTATGCTTAGAAATATCTACTTATATATGCTTAGAGTTTTCTAATTAGTTTTAGATTGGTACCGGTGTATAATCGATTGTGTAGTGATAGGATGTGTGATCCTTAATAGTCTGCAAAGGCTTTGTGCGCATTCCAGAGTGTTCTGGCATTCACACCCACACTCTGGAAGCATGGGAGAGGTCGTACCTTGTCTTATTGTTTTATGGTAGGATAAACGTATCTATTTCTGTTTCAGGCTAAGTGCCTTTTGTTTAGATGAACCGCTGGACTTCCAGACCAGCAGGTTTAGGGAAGTCATTTATGGGGTCACACTCTGACCCCCCCCCCCCCCCCCACCAGGCTCCAGGCAGGTCTCCCTCATGCATGAGTAACACAAAGAACTTTGCCTACTTGGTGTTCAATGCTTTTGCTGTGTAGTTAAATTGTCTTCATATCTTCATATCAAAACCATGGGAAAAATCTATATGACCAATAGTATAACTCTAGCTTGGTAGTCTATGATCTAAAACACAGTGATCATCAGTACCACAGTAGGGATAGCTCAGTAGGTAAAGTGGTCGCCCCATGATCGGAAGGTCGGCGGTTCGAATCCACTTAACGGCTACCCTGAGGTACCCCTGAGCAAGGTACCGTCCCTACACACTGCTCCCTGGGCGCCTGCTTAGTGGGCTGCCCACTGCTTCACTGAGTGAATGGGTCAAATGCAGAGAAAAACAAGTAATTTCCCCATGGGGATCAATAAAGTATCCATTATTATTATTATTTAGGTCTGACAAATAATTGTACACGCACATGTCCCAAAAAACTATTAATCCAATTAAAAGTCTTAACATTTTCACGTGAGCTTTTGTCTCAGCTTCTTCGTCACAGGTGTGACACAGTATGAGAGAAGAACAAAATGTCACTTCTAACATGTGAAGCACTGCATGGGCACCAGTTCCAAGGAAGTGCAGGATTTTGGGAATGACCTGTGTTTTGGGATAAAGTGTATTTTTAAAGAGCTGTTTGTTACTGTAACTGTTCATTTACCTGTTGCATTTGCAGTTTGACTCACAACTATTTTAATTTTAAAAATGAAATAAAAGAGTGGAAACATGCAGAATTTTGATTCTAGATTTATGACAATGAACAAACACTGAAATAATGTTTTACCTGATTAAATATGCAATATTTAACAAATCTATTTTAGAGTATCCCACACAGATAAAATTCATGCCAGTTAGCAATATCTTTTCCCTTTAAACTCTCTAATGACTGTATGCAATTGTACATATCTGTCCTCATTGCCAATGAAACTAAATCCTCTTTAAGCCTGATGTTTAGTAAATGAGAGAAAGCTCTTTTATGGACCTGTCACCCCAACCTTCATCCACTGCCAAACTCAAAACTCCACAGCAAACTCCACAGCAGCAAGATGACTCTTTTTCATAAGTCTCTTCATCCCATTGGAGATGGTCAAACATGCATTTGAGTTCCTCTAGAAAATTCTCATACTTAACTACAACTATGGGATTAGTCAGAAAATAGGATTATTCCCAAACAAGGGCTCAATCCCCGAATAAACCCATGAAGGGTGATATATTTGTATAATCATCTGGAAAAGCACTACATGGGTAACTTAACAATAGTTAACAATAACAACAGCAGGAGATTCGGGCCATCTAAAGCTCAGAGGAGGAACAGGAAGTACCTGTTGAAGGTCTACTAGAAGATGTAAACAAAGCATTATAGAAATCCCTAATGCGATCATCACTGAAACCAACCAGCTAATCAACATGGTGGCAGCAGCAATCACTGAGATTCGTGGCGAAAAGATGAACAG